ACGCACTCATAAGCCGACCTAGTGCTCCACACAAGCTACACGGCCAAGATTGCCTTATAAATTAAGAGTCCAACCCAACCGGAAGAGTTTGTTGACAAACCCGCCACTCTCCCATACGCCTCGCAGCGTGCCCCGTTTAAACTCCATTCACAACCGCAGCAAAACTACGCTAGCTAGTTATTACCTGCGGGTGTGTCCGCACAGTTCTTTACGAAATTCAGTACTAAGTTCAATAGTAAGGTTAAAAATTATCCAGCGTAACAGATAGTTTTGTTAGTTAATTTTAATAATAGCACGTAAACACAAAAAGTTTTATTTATCTTCGCTAGCTCTCATTTCAATTAAAAATATATTTCCTAAGTTCTGGGGCTATGTCCTACAGTTGACCTGCAAGAAAGATGGTTAGGATGATATGCAAGTTTTTTGATAGTACGAGTAATAAGACAAACATTTAATGACAGCCTTATACAAAATTGTGGAAACAATAAAATACAACAGAAGAAATATGGCAACAACAATACGATAAGCGCTTAGCAATTTTTCTTTTTTAATTAATCTGATTGGGCCGTTGATTTTATTTGTAGTCGTTTGGGGCTATGAATGTTTGAAACTTAAGAAAACGCCTTGTACAAGTTATTCGTCGGGATGATTTATTGGGCTTCAGAAATATGACGCTTGATCTGACCCCGAAATCTTACAAAAGTATTTTTCGTGGAGTGATTTCGGGTTAAGATTGATTTACTCTGAGGGTTCTTTTCGTAGGACCTCTTTAAAGAGAAAGTTACAAAGGAGCGAGAGCAACGTCTGATATTAAATAATTACCAATGTGATTCAGCAACTTCAGCATAATTGTGTCCATAGACAGTGTATCAACTTAAACCTTGTCGAGGTCTTTTTGTTCTTTCTGATTGGGTTACCCCATACAATCTTGAAGCAATCTTAAAGCAGGTATTTTCAACATGGGCGGTTATGCTGCCATTGATGTATTCAGGGAGAATGATGACAGAACTTCAGTCACTGGTTATTACTAGAAGAATTATTTACAAAATCAGTAATCACTTTTACGAAAACGAGACTGTGTGCAACTGCCCTTATCCAGCCAGACAGCGGCGAAGCCTCGAGCAGCTATTTGTAGTTTGTAGTATACTGTGTGTACACATCGTTACCACCTACAACTTAACGCCTTAGACGATATTGACAGACAGACACATGTAGTTCGATTTGTTAAGAGCCCACAATTAGAGCTACTTAAGTAAAGTTTTTAAGTTAAGTTTTATTTAATAGAAATATTTAATTGGAATAACCTAGACAGATTTTTAATGACACATCCAATTCTAAAATAGCGTTTTGTTTAAGAAGTCCCACATAAATGTGGCGGGGCCACGTGGTAGCTACCGCTGCAAATTCTTGCCCCCCAGTGAGAGTCGAATCCAAGAGCCGTGATGTCGAAGCGAAGTTACGCTTGCCACTGCGCCAACGGAGTGAAAAAGTACCTTTGTACTTTTTCACGGAAGTATTGGTGGCATTCAGAGACAAATTATATATATTATAATTATCTAATTGCTAGTAAAAGGGTTTCTGATGTAATTAATATAACTACAATGAATAACTACAACTAATGTATAGAAATACAAACATATGTAATAAAAATTCGCGTGATGCGTCTGTCGATCTTAGCTTAGCGTTTAGATCGACCGAACGGATAATCCGGAAGGCCCATGTTAACAAACTGCAAGCAACGAATAATTTTGCGAGAGTTCAATGTTCATATTTTTAAGTTTCATCGTAAGTTCAGAGACTATCACTAAACATTAAAAATTAATTTATATATACGTATTATTTATTCAATTATGCTTTGCGCAAAAATACATGTACAAATCAGACTTACGCCATCTGCATTATCTGCCATTCATTGCCTGCCTTGGGGTGGACCAGAGTAGTTTAGGTGTGTGGTAGGGCCACGCAACAGTGTTCACAGTTGCACGAATGGGCAGGTCCGCCCGGATAAGTACCACGACCTCAGAGAAGATCCGCGTAAAGTAGAAGTGTTACACTTCTGCTTTTCGTGTGGTGAGTGAGGTAGCCGGGGCACACTTTATTTAAAGGTGGCAACGCATTTGCAGCCTTACGGGTGTTGTGAATGTCTATGGGCGGCGGTTATGACTTAACATCAGGTGAACCGTCAGTTCGTTTGCCAATTTATCACAGAAAAAAGGTAGGTATGTGCACTGATGATAACATTAAACCATCATTATTTCGAAATATCTATATTATTTGTACTTAACATAAAGTACTATATTAAATACTATACTAAACAATAATAACATAATAATGTTAAGATACATAGGTATAGCCACGCAGCAGCCTCAGTTGTTGCACGAAGGGGCAGGCTCGTTCGGGTACGTACCACGACCTCACAGAAGACCGCCGTAAAGTTGAAGTATAATACTTTTGCGTTTCGTCTGGTGAGTGAGGTAGCCGGAGCCCAATTTCCAAAAAGTTTGTCAAAGCATCTGCAAACCCTCGGGTGTAGCAGATATCTATGGGCGGCGGTATTCACTTAACACCAGGTGAACCGTCTGCTCGTTTGGAAACTAATCACATTAAAGAAAATGTTTGACGATCCAGAGAATCTGCCCTAGGCTTTGAGCAAGTGCTCGCGTGTTTTCTCGTCTTTTGAATAAAAAGCAAGTTTATGAAACTAATTCTTTTAGTTGTAACCAATATTTCGAGTTGTTCGTGCTGCCTCAATTTTTGTTAAGGAGTTAATCCTAAACATTCAATTTATATGGGAATATACGTTCAGTTTTCCTACATAGCCGTCTAATGGACAATCAAACACGAATCAAATTTAGGCACGTATAGAGCCCTACTGCACTTTGTGCGTCCATTTTGAGGATTTTGTCGAGCTTTCGCGGCTTTCCGGCGAATGTTTTAACCAATTTAAAACGGGTATGGGTTTCACAGATAAATCTTTGAACATCGACGTTACATATGGAAAACTGTAATATTGTCACTGAAACTCATGTTTAAACAAAATAATTAAAAATAAATATACATAATAATATACAATACAATGCAATAACAGCCTATCACCGTCCACTGCTGGACATAAGCCTCCCACAAAGTGCGCCAACTATCCCGGGCCTGGGCAGCCCGCATTCATCCGCTGCCCTCCATTTTTCATAAGTCGTCAATCCATAAGTATTAAATAATAGATATAACGAAGTTAAAATATCGAAAAGTTTAAAATCTCATCTGGAAAGCAGGCATTCGTCTCCTGTACCGGAAATACATTAGAGATGATAAGATCGAAAAACATTTGCATACAGTGGTGATGGTGCTCGACTTAACACTAAACCCGTAAAGCAATATCGTGTCCATCAATAATCGAACTCGACTCACGGTACTCTACTCTCTGGACCGTCGAGTATAATGTAAAACGTATTAGAGCTTAAGCCCGACTTCTTTAAATCCGCATACGTACAGCGTTTAATCCGGACTAATGCAAAACGGCATTATCCCTTGCATGATATCGTTCGTGTATTGAGACCATTTATTTATGGTTAGACGCTCGTAAGCCGATTAGTGCTTCAGAGTTTTTACAACGGAACAATCAGATTATCCGAACTGAATTGTATATTAATATCATTCGTGTAAATCGCTATTTATTTCGTTCATTTTATCGAAATTAATTTAAATTAGAATAACTGCCAAGTGGTATTAGACGTAATAATTTCACTCTCAAGTTAATTCCTAATTCAGGAAGTATTGGCGTATACCACAGCCAAATGTTATATTCCAAACTTATCAAATTTTAAATAAAAGACGGTACAGTGTACGAAATTCGGGTTCGTTTCGTAAAATGACATAGTTAAAGTTTTATTATTTAACTTGGGCTTGTTCAGGGCGCTTATGAACGTAAAATGTCACCACCTGTTCAGAAATTTAGACCCTACTCCAGATAAACTTGTATGAAACTCTCTGTGTGAACCAAATTTTTATGCCATTCTAAATACTGTTATTAATTAATAGCATTATGCTATACTTCCACTGGCCTAGGTGACTCCAGGCTGCCCAAAGCAGCTGTTCCCTTAATCCCTAAGATGGATGTCGCTGCTTAACCCCTTTCTAGAACATTCTAAAAACCACGGACCACTATATTACATGCCTAAAAGCTGAGAATATTAGTTTTTTTTTTATGTGTGAAAGTGGCAAACGAGCAGGCGTTTCATCAAATGTTAAGTGATAACCGCCGCCCATGGATATTTGCAACACCCGTAGGGTTGCAAATGCCTTGCCACCTTTAAATAAAGTGGGCCCCGGCTACCTCACTCAGCAGACAAAACGCAGAAGTGTAGCACTTCTACTTTACGCCAGACTTCTGTGAGGTCGTGGTACTTACGCGGACGGACCTGCCCATTCGTGTGTTGCGTGTTACCTGACCCTACAACCGTAAAATGCATGTAAGTTGGTATGCAATTCTACCCGCTTCAAATGTTGAACTAGTTTGGCTCAAGATTTAAAGTTACAATTTTGAGAGAATATTAATGTAACTTAATTGAGACATATAAAGTTCAGCTTAAAAAGTATATTTGCGTAAGTAATATTTGCGTAGCGTATGCCTTATTATCTTGCATACGAAAGAGGTCTCTCCCTCTATGGGTTTCTTTGCGTCTGGTTGTCTGGTCGCAAGCAGGACTTATGGCGGTAATATTTAACGTACGGTCATTCGGGCTACGTATGTATCTAAGTTGAAAAAACTCTCTTGAATAATTGTTTGTATAATTATGCATGCATAAGCTATAGTGCAACGCCGATACGTCTCGGAAGTGAATTGCAAATTCAACCTTATTCCCGCCTCTGTGTAGGTCCCCATATCGATTGCGATCCAAGCCGAGGTTCGAACCTCCATCTGAAGGGCCCTTGGATCGTGTCGTGCCTCCCCTCGTTAGTCGATTGTCCATCTTGTGTTAGCAGGGAGTTTGCCAAAATTAACAATGCAAAAGAAAGTTGCTTCATTGCTTCGTGGTTCCATTTCAAGGACACATGACCTCCGTGGTTGGGAAGGGTCCCTTTACAAGCACCGGTCACCACTGACATCCAACGCAGCCCCACGGGATGGGATATACGCGTTATCTCGCACCGTGGGTGTAGGCAGATGCGACTCGGCAGATAAACTGTCGGGGCAGGATTCCTGCGTACAAGGTTGCAGGGCTGCCGCATAACCCACTGTTTTTCGATTACATTTCGGACCTTCAACACCTTTATGGGAGAAGACGGCAAGAGTCTATTATCCACGCTCTTGAAAATCTTTAGTGAGTTAAAATTACGTGATGACTCCGTGAATCCGATGACTCCGTGGCGCAGTTGCCAAGGTATCGGCAAGTGTAAGGCTTCGGCGTCGGGGTCGTGGTTCGTTCCCACACGGATCAACTATTTGTGTGACCCACAGATAGTTGTTTCGCATCTGGGTGTTTGTCCGCGTGAAATTAATGTTTGTACGTCCTTACAACACAGGATAATATTACACTAAAGTAAGGGCAATGTTTAAAAAAAAGCATAAACTATAATATCGTTTCCCACGTATAAAATTGGCCAGTGATGTCGGCTACGTATGTTTTTAAAACCATGGCACGTAAACCAGGTTCTTTTAGTTAACGGGTCCCTATTAGTTAACAGTAGCTGGAAGATAATCCATTTAGCAGCCGAAATTTTAATATATACTAGCGGACCGTACAGATGTCCGACCGGATTTTCCTGTTTACACGACTCAAATTCGAAAAATTTGAAATAAAAAAAATTTAAAAATTTAAAAATTGTGTTGGACCGAATTGAATTTAAACCATTCTCGAATCGACCTGAAAACACACAAAAAATTTGATTAAAATTGGTCCAGCCGTTCAGGAGTTCAGTGACCTCCACACGTACAGAAGAATTATATATATATATATATATATATATATATATATATATATATATATATATAAAGAAGATAAATACATTCCCTCTACGCCTGTTTTCTGTGAGGCCGTGGCACTTCTAGGGATCAGCGAATCTATTCATGCAACGGCCCCTAGTCCGTCATGGTTTAACATTACACCGAATAAGTACTTAAGGTTACTTTGTACAGTGCAATTCAAACGTCGAAACAAACCGTTTTCATATTCTAAATCACATTAATTAATTTACAAATACACGCCGTTTCAGATAAGCCACCGATGACATTATTGGGTTGATTTAATTTTATAAGAGAATTCATTTAATAAACGTCTTTCAATTTCAATCGATAAATTCAAACGATTTCTACAAAAAAAATCGCAAGTAACAGCCCTTAATGTTTGTCATAGCACTGTCGTAAGGACAGGTAACCGTCGAGTAACTTAGAGAAAATAACATGCAATCCGATTTATGGTTATTATTTTCCGCAAAACGCTCATTCTGAGTTAGATATGATGGATTATCATGAATATTTAATATTAGTTACAATGGTAGTTGATTGATGTAACTTATAAGATATAAGAATATTTGGAGCCTATTTATTCCATAGTGTAACAAGTTAGAGACGCAGTAATTTAGGGGTGATTTGTGCTCGAAATAAAATTAAAAAAACTTTAACTTTTAGTCCGACATCCACTGTGCCATCGCTGATTAACCTAATCGTTAAGACGGAGTTAAACTGGCACTTGTAGGAACAATTCGAAGATACTCAATTCCGAAAATGGGAAGAACAAATACAATTAATAGCTGATATTAATGCACAAGCACTAAGCTCATTGTGTCAAGCTCCTAATCTCTGATGGGTTAGATTAGATAGAGCTGCCTACACTTTTATAACCTTAGTTTGGTCAACCTGTAGCCTTAATCTGATCACCACTAGACTTCAAGGATTCCTTAGTTTGCTAATCTCCATTATAGATGGGGGTGTCTAGTCCAAGGGCTATTCCATCACATAAAGAGAATTTAATAAACAAAGCAAGGCTACGCGTCGATGCACTGTAAATCCGTCCGTAGGTAGCGTAGATACGTGTAAACGCATCGCTTGCTGTCTTGCATTTGTCTAATGGAAAACGTTCGTAGACAAAGAGCTTAGCAACGTAACAAATGGATGTGTTCGCGACATGTTGTTTTTATAATCTCTATCATTCGCCGTGCTGCACAATCGAAGATCTGAGGACGCTAGGCCGACGCACTCCGCGACATAACACGTGCATTACTCACGAAATATTTTCATAAAACAGAACCAAACGCGCTCGACTCGGCCCGCCCCCCGCCCCACCGCGCCTCACCCGGCAAACCAGTTCAGTTCGTGCCCGGCTGCCGAGCGCGTCGGTCGTTCTGCGAGAGGAGTGCTGCCGCCTCGTCGCGATACGAAAAACATCCATCTGTAGCCAAGCGTAACCAGTGTCGTGGATTTACTACATAATTGTGCCCGTGTGAGATTGTGCAATTTTCAAGTGATGTTCCGTGAATGAGATGGTATTTTAGTGTTGGATTGCATTAGAAAAGTGTGGGACGGGTGCCGCCTGCGGTCGCCGGACGTCTTTTCTCTCCGATCTCGGGATATCATTAAGGTATTTATTGTTACACCGGCTCATTGTTGTGGGGCATTCTTTCTGCGGCCCTAGTGTGGAGTTGAATCGATAGGCGCGATTTGGTACCGCGTGCGTGAATGCCAGTGATCCAACGCGTTGCGATGCGTTTTTGATCCCGGATTGTTGTTGGTGTTTATGTTCCTGTTGTGGACGCCGGCGTGTTAGTGTGTATTAAGAATTGACTAGTCACAGGTATGAGTTGAGGTCCAGGCGAGGAGTGAGTAACAGTTAATTAGGCGTCCGACTTCAACCGCTGTTGACCTCTCCGCTGTTTGATAACTTTTTGTGGCGAGACATCTCGGAACGAATCTGCCCGTTACGGCTTACGCTTTTTTTCTCAGACTGTCAAAGGCTCGATGTTTTGACTCTGTTCGTTCCGGCGTCCGGTTCTATAATTAAGTGGACTTCTACGGCTTGAAGTTTTTATGTAAATATATTTAGTAAATGAAAACGTTGGTTAACATATTTGGTAAAGATAACAAAGGCTACATACTGGTTTAATTTGATGTTATGTAAGTTATGTAGACTGAGATTCCCCTATGCACTTTTGAAAAAATGATAGTTATAACTGAATGACTATCAAGCTTCCTCGGTAGATGGCGTCACTAGTGGCAAAACAAATGAGCTTTCTCCATAATATCGCCGGAGAACAACGGTTTGGAGGCGAATCTTTACCTCTAATTATACACCGCAACATAATGAATAGGTTTGTTAACCTGATTTAAGCGAAACAATAATTGTTATAACATCTTATAGGGCTATTAATCTTTATTTTCTTTACCAAATTATTGGAGGAATATACTCTTGTGACTTTGCATTTAGAAAATAAATTTAGAATTGTTAAAGTTCGAATTTTAACTTTTTAGAATTTAGCCATTACAAGTTTACTGTCTATCGTTGTCATCAAAATTCCTATTTTTCTGTTATCTTTTAAATTATTTAGGCTTATTATTAATATAAAAAAAATATATATTTTAACGATTATCCTATTTGCATTGAATACACTAAATATGCCTTTAATATTATATACTAATGCAGAAACTATCAGAGGGTATGTGACTTTTTTTACAAATGTAGGTAAAAATATTGTTATCATTTCAATCCGTTTATATCTTCAATGCGGAAAAATTGTAGTTTCCAGGGCGTGTTATTACTAAAAAGTAAAAGGAAATGTTAAATAATCTAAATATGAAGTTGTTTACCAAGTTTTATGTTTAGTTTAAAAGGCATTTCATTACAGTTAATATTATTTATGGATTAAAGATAATCTTATAGAGAAACATAAAAAGATACGCAATTTATTTATTAAAACTGTTCTTTAATTTACTCACGACTAATAAAGCCTCGCGTTGAGTTTTATCAAAGAACGAATGCCCCGTGAGTGCTTCAATATCAATACCGAGAAAAGTTCTTATCGAATCTATATATCCAATTTTATCATGGACGTTTTAAGGGTTACATTTACAAGACGAATCCATTGATTCAGTCGTAAAACGTGCCGTAAACTCTGTATTGATGGCAGTTGCCAGATAAAGCCTGTGGATTTTAAATAAAGATATGTGGTAAGCGTACATGTCGTTGTAATAAGCCGCTTTAATCTGCATTCAAATATCCCCAGCTATCGTTAAACTACGATATTACTAATGAAGCTTTTGTAATCATTTGAATATTGTTATTCGATTTTGTTGGTACGCCCCAGTGCTTTGTTTAATTTTGAATCTCGTTATATATATGCATTTCAGTAAGTTCAATGGAATCGAAACTTAATGGAGGCTAAGCTATTATTGGGGCGTTTTCTTTTAACCTTACCGTAGTGTGTAAAGTTAGAGAGATAAATTAAAAATACATTGAATTAATTTCGCTAAATAGGCCACGATTTGCAATTGATTGACATTCTGTTGTACAATTGCGATCTCTTATCTTATATTTACTGATAAGTTAAAGACACATTAGATCATTATTCTTTTAAGAAGTTTGTTGTGTCAAGCGATTTTATTTTTGTTTAGTCGTCGATGAGCTTTAGTTAATAATAAATTTTCTTTTTCCTATCTTGGTTATAGTATTAAACTTTTATTTTTTAAATCGTGAGTATATATAAAATTGTATGGTTTCAGGTATGTATAATATTGTATTAGTAAAGAAATGAAGCAAAACAGAAAATTATCATTAAAAGTCTTTGCTATGGTCTATTTTTGATCACTTAGCTAATACTAGTAAATGTAATTAACGAACAAGGATTAACTTTTTGTTATTAACTTTAGTAAATATATTTCTACGAGCATAACGTGCGACTAGTATCGAATACGTTGCTTGTAATACATGACAGCTATGATAAGCGGCCTTGACCGTTCTTATCATACATCAGCCTGTTGATCATTTAATGGTCGTAAAAATAAAAACAAATTTCTTCTTTACAATATTTATTTGTGTTTGAAGCGTTCCAGATTATATTATACTCTTAAAATGACAAGTTTATCAATCTATATAACAATATCTACTTAACAATAAGAACGGAAGTTTTAAAGTTTTAACAGAAGTTTTAACGGTGGGAGGGCCACGCAGCAGCCTCGGCTGTTGCACGAATGGGCAGGCCCGTCCGGGTTAGTACCGCGACCTCACAGAAGACCAGCGTAAAGTGGAAGTATGACAAATACTTTCGTGTTTCGTCTGGTGAGTGAGGTAGCCGGAGCCCAATTTTCAAAAGGTTGTCAACGCATCTGTAACCCTCGGGTGTGGCAGATGTCCATGGGCGGCGGTATTGACTTAACATCAGGTGAACTATCTGCTCGTTTGACAACTTTTCGCATAAAATAAAATAAATAAATGTAAAAGATGTTTTATGTATCCAGAGGTTAATAATATATTTTAGTTATTATATTATATTTTTTAAGGTTTTTAGTTTTAGGTTCATTGTTCTATTATAAATTTTGTATTAGTTCATCATTTTAATATTATTTAAGTTAATTATTATATTTAAGTTATTTAATTAAACCTTCATCTAGTATAGATTTACATTATGTATTGAAATAAAACTTGCTGCTTAAACCCGGAGCTTTATGATTTATTCGAAAAATGTATTTTTAAAAATGGAACTTTCCAAATTTCTGGCCAGCCGATTAAATAATAATTTAGAACGAAAAATAAACTTCGAATTGTTCATTTTAGAGTGCACGGGGGCGCGTCGCACGTGTCGTGTATTTCCGAACGCCGCCGCAAGCGTTAATTTGCCGCGTAAAAAACCTCGAACGCGCCCGGAAACGTAGCCCATCGGTGGTTGTCGAACAGATGTCGACATGTGTCGTGGTACGGTGCCGTAGGCTAATTGACTAGGAAAAAGTGGTAGCGGCCGTGCGCATTGACGTATTGGCTTGGGGTGACGAATTTTTAATGAGAACAATAAAGCCACCCGCCGAAAAACGGATCCGAAAACTGCAATATTCTGTCGGCGCCGATTTAAAAAACGCTTATAGAATATCTCCTTTTTTAATTTAGGTCCCAACCTACAATCCCAATTTGTTTCTTAATATCAAGCTTGTTGAAGTCATTTCCATAAGATTTTTTTTGTTATTATTGATTTTTAGAAATTTTAATGTGTTTTTCTACATATTTTAATGTTATTATTGATTATAGGTAATTAAAACAAAATGTTTTTCTGTCTTATTTAAACTGGCCAAAAAATTATAGATAGATGCATGAAACAAATGGTGTTTGATAAAACGATGCAGTATAATACAAACATATGAGATAGTTATTTTGTTTCGGTGTTTCTAAAGTTTTTAGTCTTAGCGAATATTAAAGATTCTTTCATAGCGGTTGCTGTTTGAACTCTTATACTAATAGTTATTTCGGCTGAAGACAAACCAATCGATTTATCATACAGCGGCATTTAACAGTACAAAAATACTGGATCATCGTTGTACCGTTATTCAAACGGTCAGTTATGACTAGGGTTAATATACTTTCAGATTTAAATTGGACACTTTATAGAGGGCGGAATCGAAAGAACGCGTATTCGACAAATATTCAAAGATGGTTGGAGTTTAAGAAACAAATGTTGTCCCAGGATAGTGTGTGTTTAAGTAAATTATTTCTTACTCAAAAATTTTTGAATAAAATTTATTGTTTGTTTCATATCATTTTCGTATCTGTGTAAGTAGTAATAAATAAAAATAATCTACCGCGACAACATTTCCCAGTTGCGAAGACATGTCGTCGAACACATGTCTTCGCTCATTGAGAAGGACGCTTCGAAATTTAATTACGATAGTAATAAATCACGGCGACACGAATGAGGTTATTTCTTCTATTTTCTCGGACATTTATAACGATTACGAAATTTTAATATCGTTATACGCCCTGAATACATTTGTCATGTCGTTATAATTAAATTTTTTCCTGTGTTACTCTAGACCGTTCCAGTAAACTTGGATCTAAACTCACGAAATAATGTTTGTATGTTAAGAAATCGATAACTGATGCACTATTAAAACTGAAAAGATCACTCGCAACGTAGGAGATATGGCTATTAGATTCGATTCAGTATCCAATATACAAGATTTTTAGTTGTAATGTTTTTTTATTAGCTAATATAATGTTCTACATATTGAGACGATCTTTGCGTCTCAAAATATTCATTTTCAAAAACTTTAGGAAGATTTGATAAGACGTTTAAGAACGAAAGAAATGTTTATTGGTAGGTACTTAAAAAAACTCTTAAACTAACAAAACACAAGGTCATTATTATTTTAGATTAATTTAATAATAATAATTTAATTAAAATAAATTAATAATTTTAATTAAAATAATAATTTTAAAAGATTAATTTCCA